ACTGGCATCTGTGTAAGATCATATATGTAAGGGTTCAGCGGTCATTCTGTCTGACTGAGCATGACCTGAACAAGGTACAAACATGGCACTGTGCATATTTCAACTGGTTTTACATTGTATCATGGTATCCCTAATGTTTTGTACACTCAGCATGTATACGTTATCTTTTTTTAAAATTTTTACCCATTTAAAAATGCCAACTGTGTGAATATTCACGAGGAACGGACCAAGAGAAACTGTCCAAAATGACATGTAATAAAATCTTACATTAAAGATAAGAGCTTTGCTTATTATTTTGAGATATGATGTTTTCTTAAGACAGCGACCAAATATCCATCATCAATAAACTCATGGTAAAAAGGCACTTGGAACTGGTTACAAATACAGATAAATGACAGACATCCCACTGTGCAAAAAGGTTTAAATAAACTACTCAGGTGCCGGCTACAACGAGCCATAGTCTGCTACCAGTGCTTTGCACCCTGCTCTCGCACTGTATCATTTCAACGTACAGTGTGGCGAACTTTGAACTGATGTGTTCAAACTTTCCAGGTAGACGGGGCGACTAGGGATAATAAACAGCAGCAGCCATTAAAGAAAGAGCTAATCATCAACCATCTGACCACTGAAGTCACAGATTCATCGCAGAAGCTCCTCGACACGTTTACGCGTCTCGTCTCGAAACCGATATAATAGAGCAGAGAAAAGTGAGAGTACAGAACAGAAATGATTAAATGACGTTACGTTTCCTTGTTGAAGCAGTTTGGTCACGATCAGGGTGGGCGTCGCTGAGTTAAATAAACTTTATGATTACGTGATTAAGTTCATCGGCTTGTAGCCTAGCCCTCTGTCTTTGTGTGAGGCGTGTGCTACCACCCTGATGGCCAACATGCTTCTGATGTCAGAGCGCTATTCACAGCCGTTATCAGGGCCATTAGAGGACTGCGTTTCAAACGGCTGTCAGCAGAATACAGTAAGTGACATACATCCCACTGCGGGAGGAGCCAAAGCGTGCAAAGCGAGTGAGCAAGACAGTTTCTGCAGCAGAGCCACACTAAAGCCGTTTGGGGTTGACGTCATACATGTTCTAGTCAAAAACTATGCTGATCTGGAATTCGGGGCTACTTGTGGAAAACAAATATTTATCTGAAGTTAAAAACTTAAAGGATACAGTTAACTGAACTGAAACATACAGCATTAGACCAACTGCTCTATTGGTTATGGTCTTATTATTTGCTATCCAGTGTCGAGCAGAGGAGGACGGGCTCCCCGTTTGAGTCTTGGTTCCTCTCAAGGTTTCTTCCTCTTGCTTTTTGGGAGCTTTTCCTTGCCACTGTCACCACTGGTTTGCTCACTGGAGCTCGGACACAGATTTTTCTGTGAAGCTGCTTTGTAACAAGCACCAAAGTGCTATATAAATAAGCTTTGACTTGACTTGGTTGAGGGTTGTACTTAAAGCCTCACTATGTACGTTTTGGGGATTTTGGCCCAATCCCATTTCACCCCTCACCCCTACCACTGAGCCCTTAGCCCTCTGTTTTGCGCGGTTCATGTCTAAGGGTAGGGTGTCCCAATTCTTGTTGAGATAGAGGGGTAGGGCAAAGTGTTGGGGCTACATGGCCCTCCAAACGGAGGTTTTTCAGAGACTCCAAACAGAGTGATAAGAAAAAATGAAAAACTGGCAAGACGGCTGAAAAAGACACCAAAGAAACCCACAAATGTGAGAATTTTCTACGTTAAATTAAAATTACGATATCTTAGTTTAATGCTGTTTCAGTGTATTATGGTCGTTTTCTTCGTAACAAGCATAAAAATCGCTAAAAGTATGCTAATGTCTTGGTAGCTAGCTAGCTAACTTTCCCGTTCCACCTTAAATAACACAGCAGTATTGATGCTTGAAGCGCCAGAATGTAACTGCTGCACCATTTAAAGTGGAACGGGAAAATTCAAACAAGAAGCTGGTGAATGTCTGACTTCAGCTTTGTATCTTAAATGAATTAGGGGTGGGCGATAATAAATAATTGCCCCCCTCTTTGAAGTCATATGATGCCCCAAATTTAACTAAAGCCCAGCAGTGAGGAGCTGAACTTTACCCTCCTCTGCTGTCACTGAAGTCGAGCCAGGTTGCCTACAGAGCAGCGCTGGTAGCTGTTAATGAAGCAATGTTTGTTTGTTTTCATAGGGCAAGATTTCAACTACCCTTTGTAACTCCATTCCAAGGGGTTTTGGTGACACTGGAAAACATGGGGTAGAGGCAAAAAGGAAAAATGGGATTGGGCCTTGGAGACCTCTCTGGTGGACATGTGTAATGGTGCAGAAGAACAATTGTAACCTGACCTTCTTTTTGAGCCTGTGCTTGTGCCCTTAATATGCAAAGAGGTGTGACGCGGTCTGACTCGACACCCTCTTACTCATAGCAGCGCACACACACATACACTATATTGCAGCGCATTTCTTTTCTCCAGACTCAATAATGCTAATTCTTTCATTTTTTAACACACACAGTGCTGCTTTCAGTGCTTTACAGTACTGTTTTTGCAAATGTCTAAAACTGAAGCAATAAAACTTAGACTTAAGTTCTAAAAATAAATTTGCCCTTAAAGATTTTTTTTTACATTTTGTGATTTGAGTTCACTCAAGACGTTCTATACAAGCAGTCATGCATATACTAAGCCTTCTGTGTCAGGTTTCTTGGACAAAGGAAGCTTTGAACACAAAGCTTCTGTCGGAAAAAAAAACCTCTGTCTCCATTTTTCAGTTTTTGACATAATTTGAATTGAATGCCTGTTGTCCTTTACATATTGTGTAAATTTCATGATGAATGGACCAAAAGAAACGACCCAAAATTACTTGGAAAAAGTCTGGTTCTATTGACTTACATCGAAAGTTAAGTATGTTTTTTCCTTCTCCAGTAAAGTTACCATTACCAACAGCGAGATGTTATGCATAAAACTGATGCACAAGCCTGAGTGTATAAACACACTTCTTTTCCTCATATATATCCATTGTAGGGAGGATTGTGCTAAAATAGCTGGAGAGATTGAAATGTGACTAGACATTATTTTCCTGCAGAGTCCACCTAGTGACTCCTATAATTTGATCCAGAGTATAGGTACGTCCCTGTAGAATGTTCAATTATTAACACCACTATCTCTTCGTAGCCAAACATGCTATCAGTTTTGCTAACGGCTTCACCATTTCACAGCGCCTTTTAAACCCTGCACCTCACAAACATGTCAGACAGTCCTGTGTGCAGTTTGTGTAAATAGCTACAGCCTTAATAAACTGACAGTTTCAGGCGCACTGCAAGTGCACACTGTGGTACATTTTGTCCTGCACCTTTTCAGGTACATATATCTGGCTTGTGTGTTCCAGTATGTAGTAGAGAATTGACCGATCCATGCTCTGCCCACAAATTAGTTCTTGTAACTGCTGCACGGTTGGAAAAGCTACACTGAACACAAGCAAAAATCCCAAATTCCAATGGGAAATTGTAATGATCTTTGTCTAGAGTCGCTATATAACATTGAGTGCGTTTACATGCACTCAATAATCTGATCATAATCAGATTTCTGCAGTTATCCGATTATTCAAATGGTCATGTAAACACCATACTCCGATCTAGAAATCTGATTAAGAAATCTGATAAAGAGAGCTGGATTTTAGCTCCGTAATCTGATTTCCTAGTGCATGTGAACTCTTACTCTGATTTCTTTCGGATTTCTCAGTCTGTGCATGCGCAAGAACAGACGGCGGTGCCACCAGCGATGCTGCAAGATGGCAATAAAACACTTTTGGAGCGACGCTGAAACCAAACAGGAGATGAAGGGTTTAAATATTGTTCATCTTCTAGATCATGTATGTTCATATTCTCAGGTAAAGCGGTATGTTGTTTAAAAAAAAAGCTGCGGTAGGAAGTTCGAGTTTTACACTATGTTTACATCATTTTGTCTTCTGTGGGTTTATTGGTTGGTTGATAAGGTGATGCCAAGTAAATCTGCAAAGCAGAAATCTGATTATTGCCTGACTCATGTAGACCCAGAGCTTCCCCTATATCTGATTACTTGTGTAATGTAAACATGTTGATGAGATTACTGACAAAATCTGATTTTCTGCAGTTATCGGATTATTAAGTGCATGTAAACGCACTCATTTAAACTACTATCCTGCTGAAATTAACTATGTTGTTGTAGCCAAAGGAAACTAGCCAGCCTGATTTGTGCCCATATTAACATTAGCTTGGTCAGACAGCAAAATACATCTGCGCTATCATAACAGAATGCGTACATAATAACCATCATATGAAATAAATGTCACACTCTAAAGGCAGGTATACCTCTATCTGCAGACATTCTGTCAAACTTCCCTATAATGTCCCTTTAAGGACAATTTTGAGTGCGGCGCATCGTTAGGTTTGTTCTGGTACTCGTTTGACTCGCACTGTATCCTGTTTCTCTTTTAAATAACTGTGAATCCTTTCTTTAAACACGCTTCGCAAATACACATAGTGTTACAGTAAAAGTGACAATGAGGCATTGGCGCCGTGGCCCTTTTATACACTCTGTATATTTGCAGGACTGTTTAATTAAATGACCCAACAGGGCTTGGCGTCACCTTATCAACACTCAGCAGTATTTAAACAGGATGTTTAGTGACGTTTGCTCTGAGGAGTTTTGCACATCAAGCATACCTGGCAGATTAACTTGTGCTGCAGTCTGTCTTGCTCAGTAGCTCAGACCTATTCAGGCTGGCCTACCTCTTCAACCACAAGCACTCGTCTAAACTCAGTGACGTCAGAGGAGCATTATGTGACCTGCGAGAGAACAGAAGTGCAATGAATATCAGCTTTAAATGAAAGCTGTGTGAGCTAAGATTATTTGCCGTCCTCAATCAGAGCCTTAGAGTGGTCAGTTTTGGTGACTTGTCGTAGTTATACAAATACACGGATAGACGTAACAGTTTTCCTGCTATTCCCAGTTCGGAATTAGATATGTGTCTGATTTTTTTTCCCCTTTTTTTTCTTTTACAACACAGAAGCACACTGCATGTTCTCATGGGTGCTGTCGTTAGTATTCGAATACACTGAAAAAGAAAAAAAAACATCTTGGTCCTCAAGTAATCATATCAAAAACTTTCAAAAGTGCTAAAATGAAGCTGAATCCCTTAAAAGCAACCCTGCAATCGACATCTTCGTTAAGGGAATGTTCCAGAGTTTTCTCTGTCTCTGTCTGTGTGTTTATTGTACCGTCATTTACCACCGACAGCCATTTCACTGCTTTTCCCTTGAAGTGAGCGAATGGGGTCATACATTTTTGTCTTTCTAGGCCACTCAGTCCTCCAGAATTAACATGAAATCCTGTTGACTGTAAACTCATTTGTAACAGAAGCCAATGAGCAGTTACTAAATTCTGTACACAAACATATAAATGAGATATGATTTCGCATAAATGTTTACTGATGGAATTCAGCAGCTGTCCCTACGGCTTCTATCATAAGTATGTCTTGAGGAAGTGGTATTTGGTTCTTTACCAAGGGAAACGAGCAAAACGACTGTCCGTGGTAATCGACTGGCCTTCAGATGCAGCACCTTAACATTAGGACGAAATATACTGGAGTCTGCCTTTAAGTTCGTTTAAAAACTTCTGAACTGATCCAGCTGTTTAGGCTGGAAGCAGAACATGACCACATGATGCCCATTCAGCTGACCACAGCTTGCTTGAGCATCACCATGCCAGGTGGAACGAACACCCAGGACAGGGTGTCCCGTCCTGCTTTCATCTCTCTTTCTTCATCGTCGTCATCGTCGTCATCCTCCTTCATGGCTCCGCCCCTCTGCTTAGCCCCCAACCTGTGGGAGGGAGGAAGCAGTAAGGGGTCCAGAAGAGGCCCCCTGTGGCAGAGCAAAGCTCCAGCCCCCGCGAGCCTTGAGGACATGGAAAGGTCCAGAGCCATCAGCGGCCCGTTAAAGGTGTGCAAGGCCTGCGCCCCCAGCATGCTCAGCGCGGCCTCTGACAGGACCAGGGGAGCTCTTCCTTGCAAATTCAAATTTGAAAGATCTGCTCCCACGCCTCCTCGTCCTGGCCTTGCTTCCGCGCTCCTGGGCTCCTGGACGACGGAGTGGCCGTGAGCCTTGATGTGCTTGCGGAGGGAGCTGGGGTCTGTGTAGCGCTTGTGGCAGCCGGCCATCTTGCAGCAGTAGGGCTTGTCCTCGTAGTGTGTGCGCGTATGCTTGAAGCGGTCACTGGAGTTGGAGTAGCGTTTGCCGCAGCCTTCGTACGGACACACGTAGGGCTTCTCTCCTGAGAGGGCGGGAAAAAAGGAGAGGGAAACTGAGGATAAAGTCTAATAAATAAATAACATGGTACCTGTTAAACTTACTGTTTGTTTGCACCTTAAATGGAAACTTTAATTGTGGCATTTGTTACTGAGACTGTTGTTACACTTTCTACATTTCTCAGCCTCAGCATGCAGACTAAGAGCAGTGTGGTGTAGACGCTGGCGTCTGTGCTTTAAAGCCCGACATACACTGTGCAATTTTAACCTGTTTTTAAGCCCAGTTTGGTCAGAGTCGACTGAATTTCATAATCGGGCCCAATTTCAGCTTCATCGGCCGTTGTTTGCCGTGCAGTGTGAGAGGGGAACTGATGGCTGATTTACTGGCCAAACGAGCTCCGATTGGGCAGTTGGACAATCGGATGGATTTCTGACATGTCAGCCACCGCTCCTACACAGGGGTAAGAAAGTCCACATTCGCAGCACCAGCGTCCGTATATGAGGACTGTGCTCCGTTTGACTGAGTTGAATTGTGAGGTATAAATAGATACTGTGATGTTTTGTCTTTGTAGGGCTGTCGGTCTGTAGACCACCTGCTCTTCAGCTTCAGTGCACAGTGTGTGGCACAAGTAAGCAAAGCTGTTGTAGCAGTTTGACAATCGTGGGATCTCAAACGGCCCCTCCATCCTAAGTAACACACTACGTTCTGGCTTCTACACCAAAACACTGCACTGTCTGTCCAGTCTGGAACTGTGGACACACGGCTGAATCTCAGGAGGCTATTTATTAGACATGTGATGCACTTCATGGGTGCAGGAGCCTCTATTTTAATATGTGGTGCACTATGTAGGGAGCAGGGAGCCGTTTGAGATTCAGCCAGTGTTTTGATCAGGACTCGGAGTGAGCACATAAATCACAGGCTTTGTCTGCACACGATGGGCGATTCAAACGTACAGTGCGAGCTGTCACCAAAGAACAAGACTGCTAAAATCACAGTGCATGCCCGGCTTAAGAGAAAGTTTTTAACCAAAGGGCCTTAAATAACATCAGATGTGTCAAATGAAGCACTTCAGTACTGAGGGCGATGCACGTGAAATAATACATTAAGTAAAAGTGAAAGCTTGTTTGGTGACTCACTACAGTCCATTTTTCAATGTGCCTATCTAGCTTTCACTACAGTTTGCTTAAATAAACAAATTACTAGGGCTGGCCAGAACGGCATTTTACAGGATTAGAACACTCGTACGTGTTTCTGAATAAGTACACAAATACTCAAAATCACCCATAACAACAACAATATTCATGCAAGGTGACATGGATACTTGGCATTATTCAGTTAAACCAAATAGAATTGACTTAACAATTATATATATTAACGCTGTTGGAGCAAAACCTCATATTTCCATTTTTGTCATTTTTTAGTTTTTGACATAATTTGAATTAAAAAAAATACCTGCTGCCCTTTATAGTTCATGAAGAACAGACCAAAAGAAACGGCCCAAAATTACTTGGGGAAAAAGTCTGGTGTATATATATATGTATATATATATATATATATATATATATGTATTCCAATGTGTGAAAGTCGGGTAAAATATCCTTACTAGTGTACATATTTTTGTGAAGGATAGAGTTTATTTTTATATTTTTTCTACTTTTAGTATTATATATATTGTCTATATAGTAATATGTAACAAACTATAAAACCCTGTTAAGTAATTAACAAGGCTAATTATGGTTAATTATCTTCTTGTTACTTCTTTTCTTGAGTGCTTTGCTGTCCCTTTGCTGCTGTAGCACCGAGAATTTCTTCGCTGTGGGACTAATAAAGGATTATCTTATCTTTTATATATATATATATATATATATCACTGTTGTCGGAAGAAAATCTTGTATCTCCATTTTTGTCGTTTTTCAGTTTTTGACATAATTTGAAAATACCTGTGGCCCAAAATAACTTGGGAAAGATTCTTGTTCCATTGACTTACATTAAAGGTAAAGTCGTTTTTTTCCTTCTCCAGTTACCATTTTGGAGATACAAGGTTTTATATATATATATATATATAATATATATATATATATAGCTATACAGTTTTTTCTGATAAAATGTATTGTACTTTATACTGCAGATCTTGTGACTTAAAAAAGAGACAAAGCTTCGAATACTAAAAAGAAATGAATTCCAGCATAACGAATGAGTACTTTAGTAGTCATTTGAGCCACGCCTACAAATAAGCCAATAAATAAATACATACGACAACCTGAGAAACAGGTCTGATTGTGGAAAGCAGGATGGAAAGGACTGAATTGCAACCTGGCAGATAACATGGCAGGTACCAGCCTGTTCAGGCTTGTTTGTGCAGAGAGTGGATGTAGACTGTTTGTGTCTCACCTGTGTGGGAGCGGGTGTGTATTTTGAGGTTCTCCAGCCGGGAGAAGCTTTTGCTGCAGATAGCGCACTGGTGTGGTTTCTCGTTGGTGTGTGTGCGGATGTGGATCAGCATTTTGTACCTGTCCAAGAGAGGCATCTGTTATCACTTACACATAAACAAACCCACACCGAGCAAAGACAAATGTTTCACTGGAATTCCTGATGACTAAAAAGCCAATAGCATTACCACAACAACCCTGCAGTACAGAAAGTCCTTATTCACAAACTTTAAAACTTTATAGTTCCTCGTACAGTTCTGAGTGACATTTTATGAAGTTACTTCTGAGTGATCTGATGCTAAAATGTGTCAAACATTATGTATCGTAAAGTACCATAATGTATCAACATAATATATGAACATCAATCAGCTGTAATCATTTGTCATTTTGTGAATATACAGGGTGATTCAAAAAGATTCATCCATTTCAAAATGATTTATTTCACTTGTAAATCATTACAGATCAATGCAGTAAACTGTAAATGGTTTAAATGAGCATAAAGTTTATTATGTAATTGTACAAGTGCTCAGTATGAACCTCCTCCAGCTGTACGGACGACATCAACACCATAGTCAAATTCATCCCATACTGAATTGAGCACGTCGGGTGTCGCTGCACTCACGGCTCTTTCAGTGAGATTTCTGAGATCATCCAGTGTTGTGGAACCAACGACGAACGCTCTGAGCTGCTGGAGCTTTACTGCCCACGAAAATCACGCTGCCCATTTATGACAGATTCACTCTTATTGAAGTGGAGAACACAGAACGCTTTCTGCTCAGGGGTCTCATCTCCTCTCAGACTGAAGGGAGCCATCTTCCAGTGATCAGAAACTCTATGACCCCCTCTTTCAATTGGTATGTGATTGGTTCCTGGACGCCTCACGGTTGTAAAAATATGGTGCTTTGAAATCGGATGAATCTTTTTGAATCACCCTGTATATCTGACAGCTGGGTGCACATGCATGATTGTGGAAGTATTTTAACCTTTGTCATGTTTTATGAATTTTGCAATGAAAAGTGTATTTTGGATTTCCGCTTGCAAAACTGGGTCTTACTTTATTTGAATAGTCCATTATAGACCCCTGTAGATCATCTACAGATGTTCAAATTGTTAACAAACCATCTGTTGAAACTCGGTTGATTCTGAACAGTGGTGGGGTTAGGCTGGGTTTCGGTATTGTGTAAAGGTTAAGTTCAGGGTTAGAGTCAAAGAAAATCATGATTAATTTAGTAGATATTCAGTTGAATGAAACTTGAAAGTAAATGAAGTATCTACAAAGCATCTAAAGTGGACTATCAAAATAATTTTTTTTATCCAAAACTGTTGTGAAATAAATTTAGTTAAATTTTGATGGGATGTTGGCTAATGTTAGCTAGCCACCAGTTTAACTGATATAAGCTACATGCTATATGAGCAGCACCTTATTCTAACCATGAAAAAATCCCCGAGCACTACACAACTGATGCACATGAAGCAATATGTTCAGTAAAATAGACAAAATTAAACTTATACAGAGATATTCAGATCAAATAGGCAAAATATCAAACTTTTTCTCATGTAAAAAAAGACTTCTTATTTAATTAAGACTTCCAATAAAAATCTTTTCTTAAAATCTTTGAATATACTTCTCTCTAATGACCCCATTTTTCAAAATCTTCATTTATCTCGAACAAATTACTTGACTTTGTGTTGAAATATTTGCTTATTACTTTATAACTTTGTCCAAATAAAATGACTCATTATTTAACTATTTAATTGACAAGTCAAAATTCCAACAGAAGTAAAACTGTGTGAAAATCAGCCATTTTTTTTGTGACATAAGTACAAGAAAATGAGTTATTTCTGCATAATACGTCAAAATCGCTTTGACTTACTGCTGGTACAAACAGAGAGGAGAAAAACGCTGTTTCACCTGACGGGAATGAGCCTCCTCACAAAGCTACTGTTCTGCTTTGTGGCGAGACTCCTGCTCAAGTTCCTTACTCCTGTTTAAATGCTGAAGACTGAGGCATTTTCACTGACCGCCTTAAATGTCCATTTTGCTTTAGGGGCCAGTTCACACATTAAACGACTCATATCATTTTGTTAAACACATGCTCGCATGGTTCTTTACGCTAGAAAGAAGTCATTTTTTTGCTGGAATGAAAAGTAGCCGTGTGTTTCCTTCCCGTCTAACAAAGGTGGGAATGTATGTACTCCACCTGTTCTGTTGTACAGGTGCCAGGAGTCAATATTTTGTATGTTCTCTGAAGCCTGTGTTTACACAGAGAGAGAGAAATAAGAGTGAGCAATGAGAATGAGTGTATAGTAATAAATATCTTAAATAAATACGACAGACATTGTCCCATATTGTTATGAATGACCTCAGTCTCAACGCTGATGCACAAAATTCCTAGGTCAGCTTTTGTTCCCGTTGACCACAAGATTTTAATCCAGCGTCTTGAATGCTGGGTCGGCCTCTCGGGCACAGTTTTAGAATGGTTTAAATCATATTTAAGTAATAGGCAGCTCATGGTTTCACCTGGAAATCATTCATCAAAAAGATTTGCCATTTCTTGTGGAGTCCCTCAAGGTTCAGTCTTAGGGCCTTTCCTTTTCTCTTTGTATATGCTGCCTCTAGTTGATATCATTAGGAAACATAATATAAATTTTCATAGCTATGCTGATGACACCCAGTTATACATTTCTATTCCTTCTGAAGATCAAGACTCTGCAGACAGACTAACCAGCTGTGTGTCAGATATTTCTCAGTGGAAAATTTTCTACAATTAAATCATGAAAAATACTGAAATACTGATTATTGGAATGAAACTTTGAGAAACTTTGTGAGAAACTTGGTGATCACTGTAATGATCTTCTTACTGGACATCCTAAGAAAACTATACATCCCTTACAACTCATAAAAAACGCGGCAGCATCCTCACAAAAACAACACAGAGAGATCAGATCACTCCCGTTTTAAGAGAACTGCGCTGGCTACCTGTATCTTTCAGGATAGACTTTAAAGTGGCTTTAGAGAAATGCAGAGCCAGCCATCTGGTGGGCAGGTCGAGGGAGACGATGGCAGGAAAAAAAGAGGAAGAAACGTTGAGAGGAACTAAAAATCTTGCAGTGGGGAACTGAAGTCGGAAGTCCAGCACATTTCCAGCACAAAAAATGTACTCTACGGTCTAGATGTCCACTCTGTTAGCATGCTATTAAAATCAACACGCTGCTACTACTACTAGTCTGCAGTCCATTGTGTAGGCAATAAACCATATATAAATATATAATCAGTATAAGTACACATATACAGTCAGTAAATATAATCACTTCCAGCACCTCACACTCCCTTCTGGTTTAAGCCACACACACTGTTGGTTTAAGTACAGGGTGATTCAAAAAGATTAATCCGATTAAAGATGGCTCCCATCAGCCTGAGAGGAGATGGAGACCCCTGAGCAGAAAGCGTTCTGCGTTCTCCACTTCAATAAGAGTGAATCCATCATAACTGTGCAGAGTGATTTTCATGGGCAGTGAACCTCCAACAGCTCAGAGCGTTCGGCGTTGGTTCCACAACACTGGATGATCTCCGAAATCTCACTGAAAGAGCCGTGAGTGCAGCGACACCCGACATGCTCAATCCAGTATGGGATGAATTAGACTATAGCGTTGATGTTGTCTGTACAGCTGGAGGAGGTTCATACTGAGCACTTGTACAATTACATAATAAACTTTATGCTCAATTAAACCATTTACAGTTCACTGCATTGATCTGTAATGATTTACAAGTGAAATAAATCATTTTGAAATCGGATGAATCACCCTGTATTACTCAGCAATCTGTATTGATCCTCAAAGCTTATGATTGAAAATTGTGTTATCTAGGCTGTATTCATGACTATGGGGAGCTAGTATGCTAAAAGGAGCCTTCAGTGACTCTTGTGCAGCTAATCATAGAGCTGCTAGAGTTAATTCCACTAGCGAACTCCGATGGGATTTCAACAGGAATGAGGGAGTTCGGCCTGCAAATCAGCGTACACAATCCAGCTAGGGACAGCAATAAAAACCGAACTGGTCAGTGATCACCTGGATCATGTTTCAAGCTAACTGATATGACCTTGTGGGTTATAATGTGTGCACCTTCTCTTGTGCTGATTTGCAGAGCTGCAGGACGGGAGATGGTCACCACCAGTCTTTAAAAAGGACGCATACAGGAGGAAGTGGTGGTGCTTTGCTTGACGTGAGCTGCGTTCCGAAGCCTAGGCTGCAGCTGAGTTACGCTGCATTTCTCGGCCGCTACGTCATAGCAGGATGTTCCAAAGTGTAGGACCCTTTACAAACAGCCTGGAAATGCAGACTACGTTCTGAGTGGTTTCAAGGATACATCAGATGTATCCTTCCAGGCCTCGGTTACCCACAGTTCTCCGCGCAGCACGAAACACCACGAAAATGGTGGAAAACAAAGCCGTTGGAGCAGAGCTTGTTTTAAAATGTAAGCTGTTCAAGTCCTTGAATTCGTCTTCGTTATCTTATCAGGTGTAAAATCTCCACCTCACAGCAAGAAGGGCCTGGGTTCGTTTCCCCGGCTGGGTGACCAGGGTCCTCTCGGTCTGGAGTTGTATGTTCTCCCTGTGTCTGTGTGGGTTTCCTCCAGGTACTCTGGTTTCCTCCCACAGTCCAAAGACATGCAGTCAGGCCAATTGGACACGCTAAATTGGCCCTACCCAGATACCTGCACTACCTCGGCTGCAGCCTCGTCTTTGGAACGCAGTTTGTGGTTTCCGTTGTGTTCCCAGTTCCCCAACCAATTACTGGAAAATGTTTCATTGTGAAAGTTATGTTTCACCTATCAGGTAACAGCTTATTGTTGATTTGTTGCCTCATTGTTGAGATTTGAAAAAAAGCTTATTGTTTGCTGATAAAGCATTCTCATTTAAGTACTCTGTAAACACTGAGCTAAGGCGGCTGCTCGGACACACGGCTCTTGTGTATAATCTCTCTTATTGAGGAGAATAAGTTCTTTTTGTTTGCTTTTCTTCTTCTTGTTTGCTTTGGTTAGGCAGGTAGGTTAGAAGCTGTGTTTCCTTTTCTTTTGCTTGGGTAAGCATGTTAAATTCCCCCTAACTGTAAGCTTAGTTTTTTTTTTTGTTTCCTCCACTACTGTTCCTTTTTAATAACAAAGTATACAGAACACTTAAAGAACCTGTAGAAAATAAGTCTGTTAATGTTACAATACTGGTAAATGTGGCTGGGAGAACCTTTTTTTTTACGTAACAGACCAACTACCAGTGATCCAGAAATGATTGTGTCATGTTTTAGCTAACGAACAATTCAGAAAAGCAACCTGTCACATCAGTGATAGTTAAAAGTATTCTTGCGTTTCACGTGATGTCACACTGAATAGTCACCGCCAGACCTAATCAGGGAGTGACTGCGCTGCGCTAGGCCTTCAATCAGCTGTGCTTTGTGAAGGATTCACCTGCAAGACGTGACAGGAGATACACACAGGAGAGACACACAGACCTTTAATTCAGTGTTTTCACTCCAGGTTTGGAGTTTAGTGTTTCTCTCTGCTGTTCACCTCGTTCAGCTCAAGAAGGGATTAATTAGCTAATAATATCAGGTATTTTAACCAGGAAACCACAGTTATGCAGTGCAGCGGGTTTCAGGACTGGAGCTGAACTCTGAACTAACTGAACTAGCGAAACTTACAGAATCACGTCTGTCGAAACACGACGTCGTTTTCAGACCCACGACATTCAGTCTGATATTTAACGTTAATGTTTCTCCATTCAAACCTCATTTAAATCTCCAGAAACAGAGAGTGAAGTTATACCGGCTGTCTGCAGCTCCGTTAGGGGGACGACTGTTCATCTCTCGGCTGATAACGTTAGCTAAACGTTATCTAAAGGCTAGCATTGATCACATCTGTGTTAATTAGCTGATGTCGTTACCCTCCTATGATCACAGAGTGTTTCTCCTCTTTATGCAGCACCATGGGGTCCTTTACCCACCCTGACGTGAAGAGCCGGTGGGCTTCTGAGCTTTTAAATGCTGTGAGAGACTCTCCAGAATAGTGAGAGGGGCTGAGTATGAGATAAATATAAATGGCTGGAAAACTTTTCGACCAGTTTAAGTGGGATCAGGAGTTCAGGGGGAAACTGTAAACAGCGTGTTTTATCGACTTTGTCGAGGGAACGTTTTTACTCTTCCAAAGTAAGGAGAGTAATTTTAGCCATCTTTCACCTCTAGTTACGCTCGTGTGGAGCAGCAAAGCCAGAAATTCAGTCCCAAATATGGCGGCCACAAGAGAAACATCATGTGACTGAAACCCGAGGATAAGCTTAATCAAAGGACAGTGATTTTTAAGCCAGCTGAATGTGACGGCCTACAGCAAATGTGTTGGTGGTTCTTGGCTCAGAATCAAGTCCTAAAGAAACCGCATGGGTAAAGCTGAGAGATGCAATGCAGTGATGCACTAAAAGGATTATACTGTTAAGAAAGTCTATTGTTTAAAGTCCATGAGTGTCCAAACCTTTATTAAGCTTTTTTCTGACAGACCCTATCAGAATACCCATGGGCTGGTCACTTTTTGTCAAAATATTATTCATAAAGGACTCAAATTATTAGATATTCAAAATATGAAAAACACAAATGTGTAGAACAGTTAACCCAGCTGAACTGAGCGTCTTGCTTGTGATCCATTTTGGGAATTTGGTGATGCCCCCCTTAACCCCTCAAATGGCCAGGGCCCACCAGCAGGCAAATTTTTTTATGTACATTTATAACCTGAGAAGCTCCTGTAGTTGCTGAAAAATAAGCCTTGGTATGAAATAAGCCTGGGATTTTAAGGGTTAAATCATGCGCAGTCAGTAAACGCTTATAACAAATTGATTTCAGAGCAGCAATAAATTGCTAAATATATTCATACCTGTGTTTTTTATTTTGTGCAAAAATGTGGTTTGTGAGAAATGATGGCTGTTACATCATATTATGTATCAAATAAATGCAGCATTAGGAGAAACTGTTATTTTTGTTATTTAATATTTATCTATCTACTGAATTTGCCCTGATAATGAGTTATTGCTGCAAGAGGATGGTAGATTCTACCTACTTCAGTGTCTCTGAATTCTGAAAATGTATTATATTCTTCTGACCTGCAAGACAGACGCATCTGCTATGGTTCTTACTAAAAAAACAGTCCGTCTCACCAAAATCACTGTTAACTTTGTGCTTTTTGGCTGTAGTTGTGTTTAAATGTCCGTAAATTGATTTGCAGGTCTAGTCAGAGACAAAAGGCTCTTACACTTACACGGTGCAACACAATGTAAGTTTATGGCTCTGCTGCCACCGTCAGGTGTAATGTATTGGCTGGCGGGCCAGGTATAATGAGAAGCTGCAGCCAATTAAAATCTGTCCACGGGCCACATTTGGCCTGGGGGCTGGACTTTGGACACCACTGTTAAAGTCATTTTGCAGCTATTTTTTTCAACTAACCACAAAAATGTGAGTTAAGCAAAGTAAATGAGGTACTACTCAGTTAACCCTTGTGTGGTGTTGATGTGTCTGTTACTCAGTGGTCTGGTGGACCCACCACATTATTGTTATTTAAATCAATAAAGCCACAACAATTTATATAAAAATACCAGATGTTTAGAATATCACACGTGGCCAGTGTAGGGTTCTCCTTTAGCAGCTGTAGCCAGTCAGCAGCCTGTCCATGTTGTCCACCCTCACACACACACACACACACACACACACACACACACACTAACAGCAGGCCATGTAGGAGAAGAACAGAGTGAAGCACCTCCACACATTTATTCCCAGCAGGTTCACCCAACACCACATGTGTAATATAAATGTGTGGGGGGTGAACAGAGTGAAGACACTGAAAAATGGGTTATTTTATATGTTCTTCACAGAAAATGAGCAAAGACCAAGAGTCTGAGGTTGAAATAATAATAAATCACATAATTTTTCTTTTGGTTAACATTGAAAATGGGTCCCACAGACATAAACATCACACAAGGGTTAAAATCATGCTACAAGTCTATGCTACAATACTGTAAACCAGCGAGCCTAAAGAAACAAATCAATAATAAGCATTTCCATAATGATCTGAATCCTGTTCTGAATGTGTTGCTCAAGAAATCGCAGAGCAACAGTAAAATCAGTATTGTGCTTCTTTTATATAGTGATAAACACACAGTGGCGCACCTCCTTTATTACCCTTTATTACACTCTTTATTACACGCAGACAGTAACAAAAAAAGCTCTTACACTAGAGAGGTATGTGCTGGGTAGAAGGCTAATTTCAGATAAAATGCTATCTAAAGTTTTATGAAGTGCACATTGACTTTAAATTTAAATTGAGAAGAATGTTGATTAATCTAGTATAAGTGAAATGTTTTTAAGTCATGGAGCTGTTCGGTCTTAATTCAGCAGCAGAGTCTTTACTCAGTAATTCACAATTCCTGCACTTTTCTTGGCAGAACCCCAGAGCCGCCCACTCAACTTCAAGAATGTAGACCAGCTGCATTCTCTGAATTGAAACTGCCTATAGACATATAATTTCAGAATCACCTGGCGTTGAAGCCGCGGCCCTTGCGTGCGCACCCCTCCCAGTGGCAACAGTAACCAGAACTCCTCTCTGGCTTCACATGGAATTCAGTCACATGATCTACCAGGTCCTGCAGGCACTCGAACAGCAGGTGGCACTGCAGAACAGAACAAGAGAGACAGGAAAAAAAAAACATACTTTACTTTTAATGTAAGTCAGTGGAACCAGACATTTTTCCAAGTCATTCTGGGTCGTTTCTTTTGGTCCATTCTTCATGAAATTTACACACAATGTAAAAAGCAACAGGCATTTTATGGCAAAAACTGAAAAACGACTAAAATGGAGATACGAGGTTTTCTTCAGACAGCAGCGATATTCTTTCTATGAAGTGGCAAAGGTTGTTAAGCACACACTCTCAGAATAAAGGTTCCCCTCTTGTCACTGGGGTGGTGTCCTCAAGGGTACATCTCAGTACCTTTAGTCAGGGAACATAATTATAACATAATTTATATTGTCTAAGCTGTACTGACTCCACACACCCCGTCTCGTCTCCAGGCTTTTTATTTTACTGTTCTGTTTTAAAACATTCGGTTATCAAAAGGTACAAATACAAACTTTTCTCCTGGAAAAACCTTTGTTGTACCTGTGAGGGAACATTTACATTGTTTGTACCTTAATAATCGAAAATGTATCTGCACAGAACCTTTACTTCTATCAGTGTATGGGGGAGAGCAGGGCACAACATGGTTTTTTGCAATTTTCTTAAATATTTAAACAAGATTATTAACATTTTTATACAAACTATCTACACATCTGTTCTACAAATGAAATTATAAAATTTGCTTCCAGCAAGTTAAGTGAGTGGAAATGTTACTGTACAAAGATATCAACACAACACTTTTACTAAAAGGATTTTACTGAAATAAACAAAGCTGACAAATCTGGTCTGACCACCATTTGCCTGTAGCAGTGTGACACATTTCTAGGCAAAAAAACTTCCGGGTTACTTTTTATTAAACTGCTGCAAAATATATATTATTTTTTTATATTTTATATATTACTACGCTGTTAGAACCAAACTAACTTTCCAACCTAAACACATAATGCAAGTATCATAATATACATAATTAGTGTTTCAAACACTAGAATGCTTATTTTGGACTATAATCTGTGATTAACAAATTCATATATATATATATATATATATTAACCAGATTAAATATCCACGTTACATTTTACCCTGTGTTGAGCTGTGCCCCCACTCCTCCTTTACTTTAACAACTTAATATCCAAAACCTTTCTCAGAATTTTCTTACTTTCCTTCTAGAAGTGGTTTGAAATTCTATACTTCTCCAGACCTGTAATTAAGTCCTAAAGTACTGCAGGCCGCATGTTTTTGTTCTGGTCCTGCTCCAAACACACCTGAGTGAGTTAATCAAGGCTCTAGAGCAAGAGCATCAAACTTGATTCCTAGCAGGCAACAGTTCTGCAAATGCTACCCTGTAAAAATAGCCTGTGTTCTGTTTTTTTGCTTTCCTATTTAAAATGTTTATTGTTAATTCATGTGCAATATAATCAATACTCCATGTGCAACACACTGATCAAGCATAACATTATCACCACCTCCTTGTTTCTACGCTCATTGTCCAGCAGCACTGCTGTGTCTGATCCACTGAGACCAGCGCAACACACACTAACACACCACCACTGTGTCAGTGTCACTGCAGTGCTGAGAATGATCCACCACCCAAATAGTACCTGCTCTGTGAGGGTCCATGGGGGTCCTGACCACTGAAGAACAGGGTAAAAGGGGGCTAACAAAGTATGCAGAGAAACAGATGGACTACAGTCTGTAACTGTAGAACTACAAAGTGCACCTATATAGTAAGTGGAGCTGATAAAATGGACAACGAGCGTAGAAACAAGGAGGTGGTCATAATGTTACGCCTGATCGGTGTGTATATATTGCAGTTGTTGGAACAAAACCTCGTATCTCCAAAATGGTAACTTTACAGGAGAAGGAAAAAACATACTTTACTTTTAATGTAAGTCAATGGAACCAGATTTTTTTTCCAAGTAATTTCTTTTGGTCCATTCATCATGAAATTTACACACAGTGTAAAGGGAAACAGGCATTTTCACAATATGTCAAAAACTGAGGAACAAAAATGGAGATACGAGATTACTGTGCTGACAGCAGCGATATTGTCTATACAGTAATAACAAACAAACTGTAACTGTTAAGTTATTATGAAGGTTAATTACCTTGTTTGTTAATTTCTCTTCTTGTTACTTCTTTTCTTGAGTGCCTTGCTCTCCCTTTGCTGCTGTAGCACTGTCAGTTTCCCCATTGTGTGACTAATAAAGGATTATCTTGTCCAACTTAAAAGTCAAAAGTGAACTGGCTTCCTTAAATCTCTGAGTTCACTGAACATCAAATAGTAATATAATGGTTTTTACATTCAGTTTTAAGAACTAAAAATCACTTTTTATCTCCTCTCACTCTCTGAATTCAAGTCATGAAGGCCTTGCTAATTAGAGGATGAGTGACATCAGGCGTGTTTAATGAGGCAGAATGTCTCAGTCTTCAGCACTGCGGCCCTCCAGCACAGAGATTCAGACACGTGCTCTACAGGCCTTGATTATCAAGCTCATGTGTGCAGGAAGTTGAAACAAACACAAATATGCGCTCCAAAAGCCAGGCTGTAGTCAAGAAAGGTGGGTTTTCTGTAGCACCGTCATATGAAGGACCTTCATTTTTTAAACATTATTCAAAATGAAAGCTCAAGGCTGCTCTGTCACATCATTGGAGAAGAGCCTGCATGAAATCTGATGGAGAAAATGCAATAATCATAAAAACTGTTTAGCTCACTGAAAACAGGTGCTTTTCATATCCTTCATTGAATGAAGTGATGTAATAAACCCTTTAAACAGATCTGGTCTTTAGCCCGGAGGACACAGTGTCCATGATTTCCAAAAAGAATTTCAAATGTTGATTCGTCAGACCACAGGACACTTTTCCACTTCACCTTCCATTTTAAATGAGCTCAGGCCCAGAGAAGGTGGCAGCGTTTCTGAACCCCGTTTATATCTGGTTTCTTCTTTGCGTTTTAGAATTTTAACTTTCATTTGTGGATGCAGCGACAAACTGTGTTCACAGACAGTGGTTTTCAGAAGTGTTTCTGAGCCCATGCAGTGATTTCCACTACAGAATCATGTCTGTTTTTAATGCAGTGCTGCCTGAGAGCTCAAAGATCACAGCCAGCAAATACAGGTCTCTTACATACAGAGATTTCTCCAGATTCTCTGAATCTTTTAATGATATTGTGCACCATAGATGATGAAAAGCAGAAGTTATTTGTTATTTTACATTGAGAAACGTTATTCTTGAATTGTTGCACATTTGCTCATGCAGTCTTTCACAGAGTGGTGAACCCCTCCTCATCTTTACTTCTGAAAGACTCCGCCTCTCTGAGATGCTTTTCTAAACCAAATCATGTTACTGACCTGTTGCCATCAACCACCAGGTGTTTTTTTCCGCATTACACAACTTTACCAGCCTTTTGTTGCTCCCGTCCCAACTTTTTGGAATGTGTTGTTGGCATCAAATTCAAAATGTGCAAATATTTTTCAAAAAACAATAAAATTTCTCAGTTTCAACATTTGATATGTTGTCATTGTACTATTTTCAATGAAACATAGGGTTTAAATGATTTGCTCATCATTGCATTTTGTTTTTATGTACATTTTGCACAGCATCCCAACTTTTTTGGAAATGGAGTTATATATACATATTTTCCCTTTTTAAAAAAAAAAACACATAGTAGTTGATTTCATCTGCCGGCGTTTCTCTTGAACTTTCTTCGGGTCTGATGCATACGCAAAGGATTATGAGTGAAAGTGAAGAATGCTCTGTTGGTGTCCTTGAAAATTCTAAGAATGCTGGCTGAGTTTCTCGGTTGTATTTGAAAGATCCGTCTGATAGGTCTTCAGTGATGTAGTAGTCTAGAAATGCAGCCCACCTGGACCACAGCCGAGCTTTTGGATCGCAGCTAAAGACTGTACTGAAAAACTTCTGGACTAATAAACTCACTCACCTTTAGCCAGCGACAGGCCAGCTGTTCATCCACCGGTTCAGGTGATTCCCGTCTTTCGCGACACTGACCAATCATCAAGGAGCTGGGCAGGCGGAGGCCGGCCCCGGCGCCAATGGGCAGGAAGAACTGGAAACCTGGAGGAGGAGACGCTTCGCCTTCCTGGTAACTGGTGGTCTCTGAATCCTGTGGGTGACAGAAAGATTAGACTGTGCTTGTGTTTCTGCTATGAATTTTGCATATAAACTATGCGTGACTGTCTATTAATGTGTAAGAGGAGATATATATATAATAAGACGGTCTAAATAATACATAATTACATAATTCATTACATATAAATTCGATTTACATTCAATAACCACAGGTTAAAGTCTGAACTCATAACCTTTTCTATTTTTGATGTCATAAATATGGCACAAATGTAAAGGATGTCCTGTCTCATCAAATTCAAACTGTAACAAAATATCTCCTCTATTACTCACAAACACAAATGATTTACACGCTTGTTTTAATGATCTCTGAATGAGACACAATTCAACTAATCTAAATGTTAGAACAGCCGAAATGTATACACCACTTGGGAGGGTTAGATGAAGTCCAAGGGCCTCATTCATAAAACGCACTACACGAATATATGAATGATTTATAAAAACGAGTGAAAATATATGCAGGCAAACTAGACAAGAGAGTCATTTCTAAATCGCAAATTATCTTAGAACTGAGCACGTGAACAACTTTTTCAATTCGGCCTTTAATTTAACTGGTTCACACATAAAGGAAGAGTTCATCAGCGAAAAACGATAAACACCATCCTTTACAAAAACCAAGCTGACTGTGATGAGTTATTCTTAACGCACAGCTTGTTCTGGACCCTAAACACGTTTTGTCACAAAAGCCGTTGTTGTTCATTGTCAAGGCACTGCAAGTTCACGTTTTGCAGCAGAAACGAGTCAAATGTGAGCGCTGTTCTCCAGCAGAACCCAATAAATCCGTTCAGCCAATCAGCACGCAGTATTCGGGTCAGGTGACGCAACATGGGCGCAAACTGTTAAGGCAGAATCTCAAATGGCTTCCTTCTCCCTACAAAGTGCAGCACGTAGGTCTTAAAATAATGGCTACTGCTAGACTGCCAGATAGAGAAGCGTGATCGGTCACTCCACAGAACACGTTTCACTGCTCCAGAGTCCAGTGGGGGCGCTTTACACCACTCCATCTGACGCTTGGTGTTGTGCTTGGTGATGTAAGGCTTGCAAGCAGCTGCTCAGCCATGAAAACCCTGCCAAGAAGCTCCCGGCAGTCAGTGTGCTCTGCTGTAAGTACTCTGCCGCAATATGGCTGCCACTTTACATGGTTTTTTTTGTTTGTTTTAAATTGTTTGTGTGTACGATTTGATGTTTTCCTGCTGGCTGAGGAGTTTGCCATCATGTCCACCGAGATAGCGGCTGAGAGTGATTTTCCAACTGTGGCTCAGAGGCTTCTTAGGCTGGCTGTTTGGGTGACGCTGCATCACAGCTATGAGGCTCTCTGGATTGGGGACCTGATCGACGTGACATTGCAGCCTGGGCTGGCTGCTGGGTTGATGCTGCGCTGCAGCTGAGGGGCTGCCTGGACTGGTAGTGTTCAGCTGCGTTCTGTGTTATGTACTGTTGACTATGTATTTTGATACTGTAAAGCGTACTTGAGCATGGGAGGGGCCTTATATAAATAAAAGTGATGATGATGATGAGGTTTTTCACAGGCACACTCCAAATGGAGTGTTATGAGAAAAAAAGAAAAACCGGCAAGATGGCTGCCTGAACGACCAAAGAAACACACAAATGTAAGTATTTCCTCCGTTAAAAATTACGATGACCACTGTATTATCGTAGTTTAATGTCGTTTCAGTGTATTATGATCGTTTTCTTCATAACAAGCACAAAAAATCACTAATAGTATGCTAATGTCTCGGTAGCTAGCTCGCCAACTTTCCCGTTCCACCTTAAATAGTCCAGCAGTTCTGTCCAGAATGTAACTGCTGCGCCATTTAAGGTGGAACGGAAAAATTCAACAAGAATCTGGCGAATATCTGACTTCAGCTTCATATCACTGAAGAATTAGTGGTGGGTGATAATAAATAATTGCCCCCCTCTTTGAAGTCATATGATGCCCTAAATGTAACTAAAGCCCAGCAGTGAGGAGCTGAACTTTACCCTCCTCTGCTGTCACTGCAGACTGGCAGGGTCGCCTACAGAGCAGCGCTAGTAGCTGTTAATGAAGTGATGCTCTTTTTATTTGAGGGTCCCATTTCAGAGAGGAAGATTTCAACCACTACCCCTGTAACTCAGTTCCAAGGGGCAAGGAGACCCTCGATAACAAGGGGTAGAGGTAAAAAGAAGAAAAGGGATTGGGCCTAAGAGGTGTGTCCTGATACTTTTGTCCATATAATGTAGGTGCATGCCAATGCTCACCCTGATCAGAGGGGGCGGTAGAGGGCTGCAACTGGAACCAGAATGAGGAGGGGAGGGGGGTGAGGGAGGGGATGAGGGGGACAGACTGACGTCCAGTTTTGAGGCAGGGTGACAGTCCAGGACATCTTTATCTGCAAACATACAAGACACAACACTGGTAATTACAAATTTGAAATCAATTGTCATAATAATTGTTACTTCACTGGTATTATAGTTCGTTCAATGATAGCATAGACTAAAATACGACAAATAATAATAACTTATCTGCATTGAGATTGCCACTTTTACAACGCAAGGCCATCTGGATATTCATTTAATATTTTAAAACCCAATTTAAAAAGCTGCTTATCTAGACAGAGAGCATTTTTTGCTCAGAAAAACACTAATATTGGAATAAATATAAATAACAGTGATATAAAAATATCGATTTTTACTAGCAAAAACACAGTTATGGCCCAGATAAACAATTAGCTTAGGTGCTTAAGACCTTTGCCCAGTATTCTATGTGTGTCTGTGTAAGCGTGCTGACCTGAGTCGGAGTTGTGTGTCGGCCGCAGTACGTGCGTCCGGGCGAATCGGAGCGGGGCGCAGATGGACGTTCTGAGCGCCCTGTCGCGGTTCGGGGAAATCTTCAAGTCCAGCGGCTCGTCCAGCGACAGCATGGCTGCGTCTCAAGGCCAACCCAGCTACAAACCAATAAACAAGGAATAAATAAGAGTAGAACCAGAGCTGATGGGGATTTATCTCTCTCCCTCTCGGTCCCACACACATACACATGCTCGCAAAAGGCCTCTCCCTCTCTCGAGCTTGGCTGCTCTCCGCCGCACGCAAAACAGCTGGAAAAAGAGGTTCTAAATTTACTCCAGCGACTGTAAGTCATTTACATTTCTTTCTGCTAGACGAGTCAAAACTCCCCTTCCATACCCACTCGCACACACGCACAGTTACATACTCCATCACACACGCACGCAGCACTGACGGGGTACAGTCGTGTGGGCGTCTGGCCTATGTCCACAGAGCGCGCCTGCCTGTGTGCGTGTATGGCTGCAGGTCAGTGGGTGCAAAAGCCTCCTCTACCCTCCACAGTGTCCTCCAGCTGTAATACGCGCCTCAACTTTGCGATGGTTTTTGTTGTTTTGCTCATTTTGCGCTGGTTTTGCATTAGTACACGGTTTCTTTCCCATCCGTATCATATGACACACTCATTAAGAAACACTTCAGCACACACACACACACACACACTTAGAGGAAACTCCCCTCAGTTCAGGAACGCAGACATTTGGCTCATACTGGCTCCTCCCTGGTAACTCTCTCTCTCCTCTCTCTTTCTCTCCCCCTCACCTCTTTCATTCTCTCCCCCCTCGACACGGGCAGCCCTCCAAAAACACACATAACACGCACACACTCCTCCTCTCTCCTCCCTGCACTACTTCTTCCCCTCCCTTCTCATTCCTCTGTGTTTTCGCCAGTTATTTTCCCTCCTTTCTTGCCTCCCTCCTCTCTCATGCATCAGCTCCCCCCCAACACGCACACCCTGGAGTGACTGATCCTTCACGGCTCCAGCGCAAACTTTCCTACACGACTTTTGAACATAATCGTGAACAATACGTTAGTCAATTCTTTGCCTGTTAAAGACATACCTAAAGCTATGGTGCTGCCCCCAACCCCAAACCCGTCCACTTGCACTTCACTGCTGTCGGAAGAAAACCTAGTTTTTTCAGTTTTTGACATAATTTTAAAAAGCCAGTTACTCTTTACACTGTGTGTAAGTTTCATGAAGAATGGACCAAAAGAAACGGCCCAAAATGACTTGGATAAACGTCTGGTTCCATTGACTTGCATTAAAATTAAAGTAGGTTTTCTCCTTCTCCTGTAAAGTTACCGTTTTCTTCTGACAACAGCGACTTATTCTCACTGAATTCACACCAGATCCTTCCTCTCACCGCTGGTGGGCCTTTCGAAGCCACTATGAAACCGAAGGAACCTTATCAGACATAACTGGGGCAGTAAACAATCTGACAGGCTGTTTGCTGTTGCACAGAGGCTTACAATCAGACTTATCAGGCCCTAAATGGTCAGCGGCCCTTTAAATAGCTGCCCTGCACTCCTTCTCGTACTCTGCGGTCCTCTGATGCTGGTGGTCCCTCCCTTTAAATGCTTCCCTTCTGGGGGCAGACCTCGTAGTGTTACGGCCTCTAAATTACGGAACTCTCTTCCTGTCACTCTGCAACGGCTCCACCCTGTCCACCTCTAAACTTTCCTGTTTTCTCTTTTGCTTTGATTCTTTGTCGTTTGTTGGTTGTAACTGTGTGAAACTCCTCCCGTATGAACTTCCTTAGGTTGATTGCTTTCTTACTGTAAAGTAGCCCTGGGTCTGTGAGAAGCGCTAAAGAAGTGTAACATTATTATTATTGTCTGATTAAAATACAAATTTATGCTTTTGTAATATTCGTAATCCATCAGTCAGCCTCACAAGCTGCCTTAGCAAGTAACCTAAGGCTATGTTCACATTACCAGGCTGAAGTGGCACAAATCCGATTTTTTGCCCTAATGTGACTCGGATCTGATGTTTTCAGGGCTGTGTGGACAAATCTGATCTGAGTCACTTTGGTTACGTTCACACAGCAGGTAAAAGAGGCCCAAATCTGATTTTCTCACCAAATCTGATTTTTTTTTTTTTGGCTGTTCACATTGTCTTTTAAATGTGATCTGTATGCGACATCAGTCTGAACAGATCAGCTCCTGAACCGACCCGCATGCACAAAGGAACAGAGCTTCACGCTGCTCATCCAGAGGTAAACAATCATGACTATGAACGAACGCCAGTCGCTCCCGGAGGATCAGCTTCATCTTCGCCAGCATCACAGGAGCCATCCTGAAGCTTCACTGACTGACAGCTGGGCTCATCGCCCTGAACGTGTTCGAGCCGTTAAAAGGGCGCGTAATTTGGGCACAGTCACTTCTTTGGACTTTTTCTCAGATGCATTACCGCAGATCAGATACGTATCGGATTTCAGTACCACATATGAAAGCGTCTCTAATCAGAATTGAAAATGTCAGATTCAGTGTGTTTATCTGTTCACACTGACACACAGACACACATCTGTGTCACATACGAAGAAAAAGATCGGATTTGGGCCACTTTTACCTGCTGTGTGAACGTAGCCTTTCATATGTGGTCCGAGATCAGATACGTATCCGATTAGTGGCCATGTGACCTTAATGTGACGCTCAGATCGGAATTCATGTGCTTTTTTTCTACTGTGCCATCATTCAGCGTTACCATGGCAGCAGCGCCAAACAGAAGTTAAAGCCTGTAAACGGTGGAAAAGCAGCTCATCTCACCTTTTTCTCCTTCGTCTCGCTCTAATAATGAAGCTGAGAGCTGATCAGAGTTAATGATCTTCTCAGCGAAGCTCGTTCTGCTCGTTAGTTTGTGCTGATGATGAACGTGATTCATTCACGTGACGTTACTGAGTAGGATGAGCTCATGAGGGTCATTTCAGGACGCCGGTTCATCACATTAATGACAGATTTGAGTCACTTACCTAAACGAGTGTGAACCATCGTGTCAGATCGGATTTGAGCAAAAAATCGGATTTGAGCAACGAGGCTCGTAATGTGAACGCAGCTCTACAACATCCCTCTCTCCGTCTTTCCTCTATTCTACACCATCCCTCTCTCCATCGTTTCTCTATTCTACAACATCCCTCTCTCCGTCTTTCCTCTATTCTACACCATCCCTCTCTCCATCGTTTCTCTATTCTACACCGTCCCTCTCTCCATCTTTCCTCTATTCTACATCATCCCTCTCTCCATCTTTCCTCTATTCTACACCATCCCTCTCTCCATTTTTCCTCTATTCTACATCATCCCTCTCTCCATCGTTTCTGTTCTACGCCATCCCTCTCTCCGTCTTTCCTCTATTCTACAGCATCCCTCTCTCCATTGTTTCTCTGTTCTACACCATCCCTCTCTCCATCTTTCCTCTATTCTACAGCATCCCTCTCTCCATCGTTTCTCTGTTCTACACCATCCCTCTCTCCATCTTTCCTCTGTTCTACACCATCCCTCTCTCCATCTTTCCTCTATTCTACAGCATCCCTCTCTCCATCGTTTCTCTGTTCTACACCATCCCTCTCTCCATCTTTCCTCTATTCTACACCATCCCTCTCTCCATCGTTTCTGTTCTACGCCATCCCTCTCTCCATCTTTCCTCTATTCTACAGCATCCCTCTCTCCATCGTTTCTCTGTTCTACACCATCCCTCTCTCCATCTTTCCTCTATTCTACACCATCCCTCTCTCCATCGTTTCTGTTCTACACCATCCCTCTCTCCATCTTTCTCTCATTAGAACACTTTCTTGTCTGTCCTCCTCATTTTTGAGGTTTTACTGAACCTTGTCCTCTTTTTGCCTGTTCATTTTCTTCTCTCTCACTGTGGTTCAGTTTTGGAAACACTTCTACCTTCCTCTCTTTCAGTAAATCATATTTAAAAGCATCAACTTTCTCATTTTTCTCTCTCCCTCTTTTTTCTTTCTTTTACCGGCAATGACTCCTTCCTTCCAAAGCTCTTGATGCTCTAGCCTTGCTCAACCCTTAAGACACGCTAACACACACAAATGTTTCTGTGAGCCACACACAGTTCGAGTGTCTGTTCTTATAAAGAAGCCGCTCACACACTGATCCATAACAGGATGAGGGCTGAGCACAAAACACAGCTGACTAATGAGCCACTGATGAGGAAGAAACAACAACTTCCTAAAGAGAAGAGAAAAACACACCCCTCCTTCCCTCTTTCTCCTTCCTTTCAGTTCTTTGATCACCGGACATATTATTTTAAAGCACCATGAGAGCGATGGCTTAAAGGCAGCCTCTGTAACTGGACAGCAACCAACAGGTGACCTGGACACTTGATCGAAAGCTCTGGGTTTCAGCCACGTGATGTTTCTGCTGTAGCCGCCAAATTTGGAACCGCATTTCTGGCTTCGCTGCTCTGCACGAACGTAACTAGAGGTGAATGATGGCTAAAATTACTCTCCTTACTTTGGAAGAGTAAAAACGTTCCCTCGACAAAGTCGATAAAACAGCCTGAGATCCTTATACAGTTTCCCCCCTGAACTCCTGATCCCACTTAAACTGGTGAAAAAGTTTTCCTGACATTTATATTTATCTCACACTCAGCCCCTCTCCCTGTTCTGGAGAGTCTCTCAGAGCATTTAAAAGCACAGAAGCCCCACCGGCTCTTCACGTCAGGGTGGGTAAAGGACCCCATGGTGCTGCATAAAGAGGAGAAACACTCTGTGATCATAGGAGGGTAACGACATCAGCTAATTAACACAGATGTGATCAATGCTAGCCTTTAGATAACTTTAGCTGATGTTAACAGCCGAGAGATAAACAGTCGCCCCCTAACGGAGCTGCAGACAGCCGGTATAACTTCACTCTCTGTTCCTGGAGATTTAAATGAGGTCTGAATGGAGAAACATTAACGTTAAATATCAGACTGAATGTCGTGGGTCTGAAAACGACGTCGTGTTTCGACAGACGTGATTCTGTAAGTTTGCTAGTGCAGTTAGTTCAGAGTTCAGCTCCAGTCCTGAAACCCCTGCACTGCATAACTGTGGTTTCCTGGTTAAAATACCTGATATTATTAGCTAATTAATCCCTTCTTGAGCTGAACAAG